GGGGGGGTGGGGTGGGTGTGTAGAATGTGAAACAGGACAGGGATATCTTTTTTTACTGCTCAGGGTGTAATTAACCTTTGGAAGGTAGCTGGCATTTTCAAAAGAAGAAACCTGTTAAAAATACCTACGACCGATGTAGGCCTACATGATGTTAACAAGCTCACGTTTTTGATAAAAAGGTTAAAATATTTATCGCTTGAATTAAAGTGCACAAAACAATAAAGGTCAGGACTTGTATTCAAAAAGAAAAAGTGACAGAAAGTAGCATAAAAATTGGAATGAATGAATGATTGATTATCTTTTCTGAGACCATCAGAAGAGAATGTTCTTGCTATTGGTAAAGACAACAAAACAGCCAAACAGCTAACAGAAACATATATAGGTAAGAAAATGTACCTTTCTCAACCATGGAGGCTGTATCAACTGTACTGTTCTCTTCCATCATTGCACACTTGGTGAATGCCACTGAAAGCGAAATCGAGCTAGTTTAAATTTAAGAATAAATTTACGAATAACGTTTTATATTTTCAATCATCACCAGCATTATCAGCACTAATTTCATTTCCGATGTAAAGTTTCGGAGTAAAAGGAGACCCGATCATTCAAAAAGCGTCATAGACTTTGCTAATGCTATTCTATTTAAAATGTATTGGTTTAAAGGTCGGTGGAATCGTGAAACTTCATATATAAGGTTGAGATTGTGCCTATTAACTGTGTCATCTCACCGTCATATACCAGCCAACTTCAGTATCACTGATTAACTGCCACACGTATTGATTCTGATCAATAAATTGATGTTCATCGCAATACTTACCTCCTATAAAGAGTTAAAGCTGTTCCAGTTACGGTCTTAGTTTCACTTCCAGGAACGCAGAAGAAAAAAATCCAGGATCTATTTTTGTCAATGATGACGTAATTGTTTTGCGTTGATTCCGGTTGTCCTTCATTTGTTTATAACCTAGTTTACTGATAACCCAAGATTTGTTTACATGTCCTTCCTACTGTATTGAAAACTCACATAGGTTATCAGTAAATCACAAAAAGTATAAAGTGAAATACAGGTTACAGCAGGCCTACAGTGTACTTACACTGCGTGAGGTCGACATTCGTCGTAATTTGATCTAAGTATATTTTCCATAAGATAAGTGTCATTTCTGCTTCTAAAACATTAACAACATTGCTCAATAATTCACCTAATGATACAGGAATCGGTTAAAATTTTCCATACTTGTATTACCACTGTTTTGTTCTCATTCGCGATTGATGATTGATCAACACGAGTCCAGAGTCAGCTTAAATATGGTGCTTTATTCTTTCCTATAAAATGATTTCTTTACACATATATTATGAAAGGATGTAGAACACGGTGGTAAAGCCAAACTGTGTTATTCTCTGATTTAGCCTTTCTTCTGTGCTTCTTGAATAGCTGTTAGAAATAGGATGTACCTCTTAGTGCTGTTGTTACTGCTA